TGTTACGATCGTATTGTTCCCATACAATCGTAAGACGGAGAATAGATACCCTTTCTAGTACAGTGGTTAATACGTCTGCCCGGTAAGCAGGAGGTGCATGGTTCGATTCCATGCGAAGGGGGATTCTTTTTCTCCGTTCTGTCGTCATTCGAAGATAAGAGACATAACATTGTATATCAGTATCTAATTCACTCATATCTTTCACACACTTTCTGTTAAATCTTGTGAAATATTCACAACAAATTTTTCTACATACTTATGATTTCTAGACTCTCATTTCTATATGATAAAATACTCGCTCTTTCTCTATTTGAGTTGCAGTAAAAAACCAAAAACTCTCAGAAATTATAAACAGAACTTAGACTAATAGATGAAAAAATTTATTTTCATCAAATGAACAAAGATGTAGTATATACATCAATGAATAGACTTCGCTAATATTCACTGTTCCATTTCAGTTCATATTTGGAAATTATCTTGATATTTTATGAATTTTAAATTGTTTGACGTAAACATTTCTAATTCTCAAATGATGAAAGAGAAAAATCATTTCGTGTAGAATTTATAAACATTGAGACTCTCAATATTGTGATTATAGGTTTTCTCTCCTTAGTTCCTCGACATGATTATTTTATCAAAAAATACATAACCAAGATCTAAATGAACACTTTTTAAGCCTTATTTATAAAGAATCGTTAAAGAAAAAAATTAAGAAAAAAAGTCTTCTCAAAACCTTGAAACACACACACACTCTTGAAACTGTATTGCACTAGAACGTTAAAATATTTCAAACAGTTCAAGAAATGATGAAAAGAGTGAACCGACTGTTAAATACATTCAAGTATTCTTTTTTTTTCTTAGATAGTTAAAAGTTCATCATACACTGCAGAATTCTGTTGAAATTAGTCATATTATGCTGCTTTTTCAAATATTTTGTCAACTAAATTCTAGAAGAAAAGTATTGCTTGAAATTTCATTGATGGATATGATATCGAAGTCGGTTGCCATTAATACAAAATAAGGCTAATTTGAAAAAGTATTCTTTTGTCGTTGTTATCAGACTTTTTCTAGCAATTCTAGAACAACGGATTAAATCAAATAGAAATTTTCGAATTTCTCAAATAATTAGATTTATATTGGCAGTACTTTCTTAGATTGAATTAGTAGTTTTTTTCATCAATGCTGAGTGAAAAGATGTTTAGACAATTATCAAATGTACGTATCTTCTTTTACTTATATTATCATACTCAATAAATGATAGAATGATCAAGTAGATGAGTTGATGAAGGAACGAGAAGAATAAATTCAAAGTACTAAGAGGCTCATTATTTATTGAGATCATACGATACTCGTGTTTTCATAAGGAGTTTTAAAGGTAGATATCATTATACCGATGGATTTCTTTCGATTTCTTATTTAATCATTTTCGATTATTTCTAATTATGATATTATATACGAAAAATATCTTGATACATGCATTGTTTTCTGACATATTTAACAATATTTTACGATTCAAAAGAGATTAAAGTTTTGCCATGAAATAATATGCATACAAAAATCAATAAAATCGCGTTTCAACATGAGTGAAAATTCTGTTGGAACTCATTTGTATCTCTAATGGAAACTTCTGATTCTCATTTATGTAAGTAAATTAGAACTATAAAATCAATTTAATCTAATGAAAAATATTCGTTACCAGTTCTTATTTGTTGAAATAATTATATTTCATGCTCGTTTCCTCTTTTGTTTTCTTGAAGATTCTTTCTGCACCGATAACAGTTAGAATCTGTACGTATAACTCATCTGAGAAACACTATATAAATATACCACTATTCATGACTATATAATCTCATGATTAAATGTTTGCAAGAATAATTTTTGTAAAAACAACAATATAAAATGTTGCACAAATTTTTTAAAACTTTCTCGAAAAATTTTACATGAAAGACGAATTCTTAGAACCATCTGTTATATTCTTGTACGATAGTTTCTTTTACTTTATACTAATCAATTACTGAACACGTACTTAATTTCATAAAAGACGTACTTTTTTTCCATATTACTGTTCATTTTTTACCACACCCTGATAGGCATAGCAACTACATCCAACATTAAAAATAAGAATTTAATATTCAATTATATTATTGTCTACAGAAAATTGACTTCGGAATCAGAAGAAGATGCTGGCCAACTCTGTTCATCATTGAACGTGCAAATAAAAATATAAAACAAGAGAATTTCGAAGAATATCTCAGAGATAAAATATCAATTACAAGTTTATAAAGAAGAATCGAATGAAAAAAATCTATTAATATTGAACATTGAAATAATGGCATCGAAAACAAATAGAGAAAAGAACTGTATATGTTAAAATTGATGTTTCCTTCCATGTTCTTTTATTCTCAACAGAAAATGTACTGATGAAATCGCCAATTAATGTAAGATGAAAGAAGAAAAAATCATGGAGCTATTTATTGAGATTTCTTTGTTTAATTGAATACTTTCTTTGCTATTCAGATTATTTCAGATCTTTTGCAAGATGCATCAACTCAAACAACTGTAAATGAGTAAAATACATTACAAATGATTATTGAACATAATTTTAGAATAATAATTATGTGATATGAAGTCGTTTTATTCATTGGATTAAAAGCGTTTTTTGGTGTCAAAGTTTCATCTGTGATATATCAACCTTTCTATCGTACGGAAGCCTATTCATTGACAAATATTAATCAATTTATAAAATTTTTCGACAAACGAAATCCATTATGAATAGATGAGGAACTACTCAAATGATGACAATGTGAGAATTTTTAGATAATATCTTGAAGAAATAATTCGAGTCAGAACTTGAGAAATTTTTCTTATAGAAAACATATTAAATGTGTCAAAAGCTGTAAGATATTTTTTTGTTTTTGTTTTACAAATATCTCAGTGGTAGTAAGATTATGATTTTAATCCTGTAAGATGTATGATTGAATTTTTCGTCAGAGTTACAATATGCTGTCTTGTGAATTTATAAATAAGTTCTCCTTCGGACGCATAGAAGAGCATGGCTTAATTGATGTAAAAGATAGAATGAGTGTGAATTTAAATAGTTATAAAGACTTTTTGATTCGAGATGGAAAAAATGTTGAATTTCGAGTAGGAATAATTGTATGATATGTATAAAAAGAAGGTGTTTGCTTCGTTTTTCTACTATAAAGTTGAATGAATAAAGTAATGTATAAAAATTGTCCATTAAATAGTTAAAATTTTCATATAATCAGCTCATTTTTCTTCTGTTATTTTCATATTGTTTGTTTTAGAATAAATTATTTATAAATAGAATTATGAAATTGTATTAGATTTTTTTATGTCACTATTCCAATTAGACTCAATATCAAAAAATAATGTTCTTATTTATTAGTTCAATTAAATATATTCTTGAACCACAAACAACTCAGATTTTTTTCATCGTATTTTTCTTCATTATAAAAACACATTTATTTATTTACTAGTTGATTTTTTCATTTATTTACCTTTGAAGATGTAAGCTATCATCAAATGTATATAACGAGAACAAAAGAAATGTAAAAATCTTCATATATGACAAAAAAAGAACAATAAACATTCTTGTTTGTCCCGATATCATTTATGTAACTTTCTTTTTTCGTTATTATAGAAATATATATGTGCACATTATGCGACTATCAGATCAACACATAATTAAGAAGACTAATTATCAAAGTACCAAAGGCATACTATCATTTCTCATTGATGCTATTTAACTTATCAGTCAAACGACATTTCGAAAAGAATTACATGATGAAAAGAAAAGATAAATCATTCAACTGGAAAAAAAAACGTTTCTATTCATATTTATGTCTGTTTGATCAAAGAACACGTATGTCGATGAATGAAAAGGTATATTATACGATTACATTGAAGTGCAGTATGTTAACTATGTTTTATTTTTTGAAAGTTTGATTTTTATTGAGTATTTTAATGAGAACTCTGGCTGATATGTATAATAAAGAAGAGGAATATTTTTATTATTATAATATAAATCACTAATAAGTTAGGTTTTTCTTTTATTATTATGTTTTATTTTAATTTCGAGAAAGACACAAAAAAGGAAGAGCAATGATAATATCGGATTTTATTCTTTATTTTATGTAAAAACAACCTAATCAACAAGTTCAAAACGAATTAGTTTTCATCGAACTTTTTACACAAGAAAAATGTTTAAATTCGTCTCAATTCTTCGAGAGGAATTCAGCAGCTACCGGGATTCATTAGGACTTTTCAATAAGTCCCTAAGCATTCTGAGATGAATCTCATACAATTTCTCAACACATACAATGCGTGGGTGAGGTTGAAAGTATGAGTAACAGTGAGGGTACGAATGAGGATGAAGGTGAGAGTGTTGATGTGTTGCAATATGATCATAATTAATGAATCCCCATTAAATAAATAAATCTCACAGAAAAGTTAAATCTCGAAAAAATAAATCCCAGTAGCCCCTCGCACACTATAAGTGTATAAAGGTTAGAATAAAAGATTGTCGTTCGTTCTCTTTCTCTATGTTTATTGACTAGCGTTTAGTTACAATCAATCCCTACGCTACATAATGTTGTTTTTTGGCATTTTACAACATAATGCGTCATAACACGTGCTTAAGAAAAAGAATGCATTTTTTTAAATTTTTGTTTCTCGCTTTTCGACGATGATGATAAAGTTGAGTTTTTACTTTTATAAAAGTCAGTAGTTTTTTTTTATTCTGTCTGATTCCACTATTGAATAGTTTTTATTACTGACAAACGCGATACAACCATTTGAAACACTTCTACAAAAATGAATCGTATTTCCTTGTAATTAAATATGACTTTCATGCAGAGTTATACACATGATATTTGATTGAAATTTCGAACAAATGTGACGTAACCAAAGTATATCGTATTTTTTTTATTTAAAACTGACTTTTAGAAACGAAAAAGATACCTTTCTTTCAACAAAAGCGAAAATCTAACAAACCTCATCCACCATTCCCATATGGACAACGGTGAATATTCATAACGTCTGATGTATATACGTCGACCAATCATACTCGTCTTTGTACAATATCTATAACGTTCTTCGAAATTCTTTTGCAATAATTTGTATTCAATAAATTATTTATTCTCAGCACACAAACACCTCATACTTTATCTCAAATTAAATACAAACACCTCTGATGGTCAGCCAATGGTGGATCTTCGGAGGCTTTGGGATTTACCAGATGTAAGCTTAATTTGGATGAAATTTTCAGCCATTGAACAACTTCATAGTATCTATGTACATATGCGCCAAACTTCGAGCCTCTACATTTAGTTACTGGTGAAAAATTGGAATGGAAAGTTGTCAGGACGTGAGTGCATTGCTTGCGGAGATGTCATACACATCGATATACTATGAGATATAACTAAAGACCCGTGTAGATTACCAGTTTAGTCTGGAATTGAGAGTCATTTTTTTTAAATTCAGATTAAAATTAAATAGACCATGGTAGGCATATTTAGGGTGCTCCGTGAAACAATTATAAAGTGCGAGAATCGTTTTAGCAATATACATAATTGAGTACTCATTAGCCATTTGATACTTGCACTCAACTTAGCGTTTCAATATTTTAATTAAAATTATTAGTCTAGATGAAGTGAAATAGGAAAGAAGAATATTCACGATTCAGATCATCATTATTCACTGTTAAAAACAGACAGTCCAACAAAAAATAGCTCTTTGAATGGTGTACATGCTTCTGTATTTTCTATAAACGGAAATCTGCTAGATTTCATCTATGTAGGATTTCGCAAGTTTATCTCTTCGGTTCTCAAATCTAAGGAAACTCATACTTAAGATTATTGTAATTTATATGGTTGAATAATAGCTTTCATGTTTAATTATTTGTCAGATTTCTTAAATACACATCATAGAAATTGCGTAAACAATCTACACTAAATTTTCTAGATGGAAACTTTTTATAGTCAATCAACGTTGGAAATGCTTCCAGATGAAATTTTGCTGGAAGTTTGCAAATATTTATTGTGTAGTGATATTCTTCAGTCGTTTATGGGACTAAATCGTCGAATGACACACATGATCACTCAATATCGTCATCATGTTTCATTTTATAAAGCATCTATTTTAACATCTGATTATTTATGTATAAATATTCTTCCTCAAATTGGTTCTCATGTTCGATCATTAGTCATTGATCGCAATTATTCTTCTTTACAAGATGAATTATTCATCGAACACTTTGGAAAGAAAATGTCGATGATATTTCCTAAATTGGAAAGAATTAGTCTTACTTATTATGAACACGATAGATTTCTTACTTTTCTTGATGCTTTACATGATTTGATTCATTTGACTGAGATTCGTTTATATGATTTCTTTAACACTCCAATTTCGCATCAACCAACAACCGTTCGATCACTATGTCAAGCAAATAATCATCGGTTCACGACGATTCTAGTGGATGACCGATCGAGTTGTTTGAGTTTTGATGGCAATGATCGATATTTGAATGTTCTTCGATTGCGTATCAATTTGACAAGTGTCAACGATTTATCGGCTCTTTTTGCGGCTGTACCAAATGTTCAGTATTTGGATGTAGTAATCAGCGAAGGAAGCGATTATTCTGAATTGTTGGATGAAATGAAAGTTTTTCCTCTTCTTCATCTCACCGACTTTCTATTGAAATCACTTAGGTATGGTTGGGTGTTAGAAGAATTATCTATACTACTTGTCCAATTACCAATCGTACAAAATCTGTCATTTTCCCTCGCCACTTATGATAGTCGACTCGTAGAAGGTAATATCGTTCTTTCCATACTTCCTTCTACTATTCAACAATTTAATTACGCCATTCGCTATTTCTATGATTCTGATTTGGATGGAGTTGATGATATTATTGCCTCTTGGCCATCATCAAATCCAATCACCTGGTGCTTAAACAATAAATCCTTGTTTCTTCATAGCTTACCTTGGCGCTTTCCTCACATAGAATTTTCTTTGTCACACAGTAAAATGATGTCATGTCTCACAAATACTGTAGCTGTCTATAATAGAAATGTGGAACAAGTAGATATTTGGGTTGACAAAAAATTTGCTTTGACAAGATCTTTGTCAGCGATATCACAATGTCGTCGAGCAAGACTAATTACCATTTACGTGGCAGGCGAGGATACTACTATGAAAGGTACGTATATCTAACAAAAAATAGCGCGAATGCACAAATGACTAGAAAAGCGAATCAAACTGCTGCAGAAAATATATAGATCACTGGATGAAAACTCACCATTTTAGGTGTAAGAGTCTTTGGAAAAAATTCAATGCATCACAGTTTGACCGAAAGGGAAAATGTCAAGTGAACTAATGTCCAAGTGAGAAAATGTAGAAAACGTCGGAGAGAAAACATTTCAAAAAAATGTATTAATTTGATGTAATCAATGCTTGCTTTTCATGTAACGGAGATGAAGGAACTGAGTTCATGATAACAGCTTTTCATTTACGTAATATTATTATCCAGAATATTTTAGTTATTCTTTACTGAGATATTATTCGTCACGGTTACTACTGGTTGCAGTACCAAACGAAGAGAAGAATGAGGAAAAAAAGTTCACACAGATTGTAGTCAAACAACTTTTGTTTACATTGTATATTAGATAGAAATTCGTAAGAAAACATTGTATGTTTTTTAAGAAGGCTTTTATGAATTTAGCAATGCATATATACATTTATGAAGCTCCTGTTAGATTTTTCAATGAACACCTAACACCAAATTTACATAAGGTGCTTTAGAAAGTCATATTCAATATACCAATGTGAATGTTTTTCAACTTTTCATAGTTCATCATAGCTTGAGATCAGTACTGCTTGTAAAGTTCATATGTTATTCTGACAAAATCATTTGATTATTTTCAGACGAACAACAACAATTTCCAGTACCTCGTCTTCCAAAGTTACCTCGATTGGTTCAAATCTTTTTGTATCAATCAATACCATCTGATCTCCATCTATTTTCATTTATTCTTAATGCTGCACCTAATCTTTTTCGTTTGGATTTACCTTTTGATTGCTTATGGAAATTACTTGAAGATCAACAAACACATAATCTTTTTGGTCAACGTATTACTTCACTGAACATCTACAAAAATGCAACGGAAACATCAATGATAACAGTCAACGAAGAACACATACCTATCATAGCTTCTGTATTTCCTCGAGTTCGTGATTTTTATGTTGATGTGACACATTTAGCAAGTAGTACAACAATGATCTCGAATGGAAATACTCTAGAACATACTGTAGTAGAAAATTCATCTGTGGAATCGATTCAACAGAAGCATGAAGTTGTGTCAGCATTATCAAGTGAATCGATGCTTTTATTTCTGTTCAAGCAATTCAAACAGCATAAACTCACTGGTTTATATATCGATGGACACTTCCTTGAAGAGATAAAAACAAATACAGAACAATGGTTACGAAACAATACTGTTCTTTGTGAACAACAGTTCAAAGCTGTTTATTCTAGTGAGTGGAGTCGAATACTAATTTGGATGTGACATTATTTGTATTATGCTTTTAAACAAGAAATTTTCTTTTTTCAATTTAAACTCATTAAAGTATGATATTTTAGAAGCATAATAAATCGATTTTTTCCTATTCACTAGATATCTCGTGTTTGTTTTCCATTCTGTGTACATACGAAGGAAACATCGTTAATCCGACATTAAAAAAAAACAACTTTTAGAGTCCATAACATTTTGCTGTGTATAATGAAATGTAAAAAGTTCTCTTTAAGAATCGAAACTAGTGACAATTTACAAAAGTTTTCTTTTCGATCATTAAATGCAACAGTTTGGGAGAAAGTTATATACATATGAAATTACTATATTCAATTTCAAGTAATTGTGATTAAGACAACACCTATGAGGCCATGAAAACATCGAAACATTCGTCAAAGTTTACTTTTTTTCATTTGATGTTTCCATTTTGATCAGCATCATTAAAAAAATCTAAATCCAAATTTTTAGTACATTTGGCTGGAGTAAAGAGTTAACTCAATTTCTACTATCGAGTACTCCAAAGAGTGGGCAAGAGTGAGTATAGCTACCACGATACAGAATATTATCAAGTAGCACGAGGCATTCATATAATGATCCATCTAATAGAATATCAATCATGAAACAATAGAAACATCTGCTTGAAAAAGCAGATTAATACGATATTTGAAAAGTGCGATTGTAGCTACCGCAATACACTTTTTTCAATTTAGTTATTGTGTACACGGATAAATTTTAGTTATCCTGCTTGATAGAATGTTTATGTGTTCGTTGGCATATGATATGTTTGAAAGGGAAATGATTATTATTTTAAGATTAGAAGGCATATCATATACTAATATTTCAAAGGAAAATATGATGTGGTCAAGATGTCGAGTGAGTTAAATGTAATCATAAATACAGCAGAACTGTAATGTTTATTGTTGGAAAGTGTATGTGTTAGTTAAAAACTAGTTTGAGATGCTATTAGTGATAATTTCACCAAAAATATGTTTTTATTTGTGTTGTGCCATATTGAGTACGTTTTATCATGTTTGTTTCGTGTTTTTCTATGGTGTTAGTTATGTTGTTGAGGACGGTTCAGTGTTATTTCAGGTACTTTTTCGTGTAAGTCATATTAAAAAATAAATAAGTGTTTGTAAACATATTTTTTGTTTAATTTCGAATTGATTTTCATTTTGACAGAGACATTGGTTGTTCAATTCTAATTGTTTAATTCTATACTTTGTTTTTTTTTATCTTGAAAATAAAGATTTTCAAGTGAAAAGATGTGTTAAGATTGCTAACAAACTATTTCTAGTGTTCAAGACAGAGGTCAAATATCAACGGTTTGATTTTTCTTCATCAAGATGATGTACATAGTATTTAGAAGATATGATCATGAATCTAATGAAAGTAGCTAGTCATTTAACTCACTTTAGTTAAACAGAGGACGAATGAAATCGTTTCACAATAAGGTTGATCATTGTATTATCAAAAAATATACTTTTATCGAAAATTCAACATTTAAATCTATTGCTAGTACTTTTTTAAATACAACCGATAATGAAGGCACATTTTATACATCTACAAAAATGTTTTAGAAATGAGGAGAATAGTAAGCAAAAGAATATTAAACATAAGGTACGTCAATTTCATTTAATTATGTCACTTGATCTTTCGTCTTTTCATATTGACATGCTACATTGAGCTGGTGAATAGTTCAACACTAGAATTTTAAAATGTTACCAAACTCATTCCATTGCCGACAAACAGTGAAAAAAATAATAAGCTTGACTTCATAATGATAGCTTTGTTTTGATACACTAGTGATGAACACATTGTTATTCACCGCGTATTTAGCGAATTATTTCACGATAAAATATTCTCTTCATTCTCGAAATAATATTTATACTGCTACTGTATAGATTCAGTCGTTTAGTCATGCCAAAATGGTAATTGAAGAAATGGATGTAGAAAGTACTGATATTGCTGTCTTGACTAGGGAATTAACTTTTCTGATTCTGCTTCTACATCTTTAAAATATATGCTAGCAAGGACAAAACGGCCAGATCGACGGTTATTAGGTGTTTGTCAAGTAGCATTAGATGAATCAGCCAACTATTAGTCATTTTCACCGAGTCTCATTAAACCTCCCAGCGATTTTCATAATACTAACGGAGTCAAACGAAAGAATGATAATTGTTCAATGTTTACTGTAAATGGAGTGAACGCTCTGAGGTCCTATCAGAAAGAAAGAAAATTTCGACTGATTTGATAGAATCTATGAACATAATTTTTTTTCTAAATAATACTGACTAATCTTCCTGGCAGTTTATTGTTCAAGAACTTTGTTAAATAATTAATTTTCTTAGGTAGAAATACAAGATTTAGTTTATTTTGTTTGATCTACCATTAGATAATTAGTCTCCAAATAACATCACTGAACAGCAACAAAAATTGTAACAAACTCAGACAACACTGCACATGTTATGTCTTCTTTAATTTTGTCATGACTACCATTTTCTGGCCTACTTAAGTTGCCGATATATTGAAAGAATGCATTCGATAAAAAAGAAAGCAAATTTCATACAAAATAATGTAAAAAAGAGAACTAAATGAATAGAAAAGTTACGATGCAAATACAATTCGATTTACATAGAGTTCAAACAAAAGATAGTATGTAATTTTACATATAATCCGTTTTATCATTATCATTTTTCACGACAATGACAGTTGTCTACCAACTATACTAGAATATGTAAACTCATACGTGTCGATGTGTATTTTGCACAATGCAAAGTTAAATATTAGTTCGAATTTTTTTCCGTCTTCGCTGTTCAATTCTAAAGTCAAGTCAAACATTTTTCAAAACACAGACCTTGACTATTCACTATCATTAGATAATACTTCAAAATGAATAGTATTGTTCAATAATGAATGTTTTGTGTTTCATGTTGATTGTGTTACAGGAAGAAAAGATATCAGACAAGAAGTTTTTGTGTAAGATCAAGCAAATAATAAATACTCATGAAAGTCTTATGTAATTATTGTGAAAAAGAACTATAATAGACAAGTAACATAAGCACAGTATTAACTATAAAATCGATATGCGCAAGAGTTACCTTCTATTTTTTGTTAGCAATACTCTTTTATGCAAATCAATCAATGAAACTTTCATGCAGCTGTATCACTATATAATAAAGAGAAAAGGAATCATGAATTGAATAAGTTAGAAAGAAATTCAATTCGGTTTCGATCTCTGGTTGATATAGCGCCTAAAATTCTGTTCAGATTGTAACTTTCCTGTTAATAATAGACATAGAAATTTTCTTTCGTATCAATCGAAATGAAAGAAACATATGGACATGAGACGTTGTTTTCTTAAAAGTTCATTTTAAAAAAATATATACCAATAAATTTATCTAGAGTTTTTTAAAAAGATTTTTTCATGATTTATTTAACAAGCAAAAAGTTATAAAATATGAAGTATTTTCAACTGTTGTCTGAGATCTCATCACACCAAAAAGAATTTTTCAATAAGATGCGTATTCTACTTCGTTTCATACTAGATTTATCCGGAAAAAATCAGAATAAGTAAAATCAAGCAAATAATTAACTACGTAATTATGATGATCGTCATTGAGTATATCGAACGATGATTCTCCTTAAAAACCGACCGCACGATCAGATCTGCTAGTGCATCAAGTGCTTCATTTTAGGAAACAAAACTTTCAACTTTGTTTTTTCATGTTTCAAAATATTAAATTGAACTAAAGATGTATACTTAACTTGACTGAAACAATGTCTTCAAATGAAGAATCGAACAAGATTCGATCAATGCATGTTATTTTCAATAAAGAATAGTTCTTTCTCAAGTCAAAAGCTTACCTCTGTGCAAGCTAAGGAAACACAAGATTTTTACAGTCGGCTCTATCAGAATGCAATTACTTAAACTGAGTGAAATATTTATAATCTTCCGTTACCAAAGTCGGATCTTTGATTTGTACTAGTGTTGTTCTTGATTGAGTTTCAACGAAAAGTTCAAAATAATCAAATTCATGCATCATAGAATAGAATATAGACACGTTCTGAGTTCGACGATCTCGAATTTATATTAGTTTTTTCATATTACCACTACAAATCTGAATCGCTAATAGAAATCCATCAAAAACCGAATCAAGACTCGAGTTGATCACGGTCATGCATCTTAACTAATCGTGCAATCAAAAATTTCTTTTTCATCGAAATAAGATAATGAATATGCGATCCAATAACTTAATCAACAACGTTTACTTTACATTGTGGAGGTTTCAAAGGTACTGAATGATAATCAAGGGTGTGGGTGTGAGTGGGTGTGAGCGGGTGTGTGGGTAGGGTGTTGGTGTGGAGTGTCGGATATGTGTGTGAGTATGACTGAAGAGAGGACCGATGCTGATAGCCACACCCGCACCCACACCCAATATAAAGTGCATAAATTATCTGATTCCATTCATTTATTACTGCTAAAGTTCATAAAAGAAAAAGAATAAAATATGAACTTAAGAGTAAACAACGTGTAAAAATTGATTCTGGATTAAAAAATTGAATATCACATAAATCACAAAAGAGAAATGTAACAGCAATACATGTTATTAAACTAACATCAATAATTACAATAAATAGTCGAATAAATTTCGATGAATCTTCATTCGTTTGTCGATCACCTATAAAACAATGCAATATACCAGCTGAGCTCATCATAATACCATAAAGAAAAAATGCTAAGTAATAAAACCAACGTGATGGAAATTTTCCTGTTAATTTAGAAATATGTTTTGAACAAAAAAGACCGATTAATAAAGCCAGAATACATAATAGAAGAAGTGTAGGATTTTAAATACAGAATATATATCCATCATAATCATCAATACACCATTTAGCAGGTAAAGATGGACATGAAGAATTACTTGATGGATTATTTTCATAGAAATAAATTACTCCATTTTTGCAGCTGTTTCCTTTTCAACGAATTACGAGATTAAGACTATATATATATATTTCTTATCATATGATGATGAAAGCTGTTTTCTTATTTTTTAAGCACGTTTTATAAAAAAATAAATAACTCGTGATCGGGCCGATTTTAAAATCTAGAACGTGTACAGTTTTGTGAATCGTCGATTAGCAGCTTCAATGAGCGCTTGATTATTGAAAATTCAGTTAAGTTCCTACCAGGGCACATAGATTTTCAAGATGTTGACTTAAGTCGTTGGAAAAAAAGCTCCGCCAAATTATTTTATAATGTACAGTTCCACGCATTTTTATCTCCTCTTTTCAACAATAAAAACCGAAACTCTCTATCTTGTTTGTGCCAGAAGTTATTCAAAAAATATCGTACTATTTTTTTTTTTGATTTCACATTAGTAAGAAGGAATAATTGTCCTTTTGCTACGTCATTTTTTTTACTGTTAAAAACCAGACAATAAATCAAGTTGAGTATGGAAAAGAATACTTTTTCGTGTTGTCCAATGTTTAAATCATGCGCAATATCCTTCTGAAAACATTGCCATGCTAGAAAAGGATGAAATATAAAAATGTAGCACTGAAGATACATATGTGATATTTTAATTCACAAGTTCTCCAGCGTGTTTTTGAGAATTGAACTAGAACGTATTGCTATAGAATTTTCATCCTGAATCTCTAGTTCGTATTATTATTTAAACATTTTTTATGAAAAACGGAACTTAATTCATTTTTGCTTAACTTGGAGTTGAGTAATCCGTTTGAAGTCATCATAAGTTTGATATACCCTTGACGAATAGGGTGTGGGTATCTGTGTGGGTACGAGATACGTATCAGTGTGAAGAAGAAAATATCCCCACGCACACCCAGAATACGACGTCGATGCAGAGAGGAAATTCAATATTATGAAATGTATGATAAGTAAGCGATGACAGGACAGAAAAAATTTCTCATTCAACTTTCAATTGAATGAAGAAACCTTTTTATGGCAAAACAATCGTGCAACCGATCGTCATCGTTAACTGAGCAAGATGATGGCTTCAATGAATCATCTTCTGATCCATACTTGCACCGACTGCTTTTGTTCTAGCTGAAATAGTGTGTTCCTAGAGCGGCATACTCATGTGTCCTCATCACACTCGACTTCCTAAGAATATGCTCTGAGGGGTGTGGGTGCAGGTGTGAACGAGAAGATGAACTACAATAGCAACCATATCCATGCTCAGACTCACACCCACACCCTATACCGAGTGAGTCAAAATGATTGCAACATTTAATATTTTGCAAATATCTCAGCAGAGATAAATCATATAATCTTGATTCTTTTTTCAAAAAGATGCGCCATGGAAAGCTGTACAAAAATTGTAAGAACAAATTTCTATTGACTTCTTCTGATGGTGTCTCCCATATTGAAAATGAATAGCTCAGATGATAGTGCTATGTCCCACTGTATTAATTATTTGGAAGACTTTTCTTTTTTTGCAATAGAAAGTTGTTCATATAACTTTTGTACAGCTTTGGACAGCGCATCTTTTGAAAAAACAAATCAAAACGTTATCATTTTCTCAAGTCAAGATATTTGCAAAATAAAAAAAGTCTTTCATATGTATTTGTTATGCTAAATATGGAGCGAGATAGCGTCGTCATGTGACCTGTTCACTTTATCGGAGACACCATCAGAAGAAGTCAATAGAGATTTGTCTTTACAACTTTTGTAGAGCTTTCCATGGCGCGTCTTTTCGAAAAAGAATCAAGGTTATACGATTTATTCCTACTAAGATATTCGCAAAATACTAAATGTTGCAATCATTATAACTCACCCGGTAATAGTATTCTTCAATTCATCATCGTCAATCAATCCTTTATCACGATTAACTCTAAGACATAAATTAAGATTTTCTAAATTTAACATTCGATGTAGAAGTGGTACAATCAGTTGTTCATAATCATCTGTTAGGCTATCACAATGCAAAGAAAAAAGTCATAAATTCGATAGTTTATCCTAGAAACAAAAACAAAAGTATTATTTTATTTGGATAAATGATATTAACGAAAATAATCTACCTTATTTTTAATTGTTATATGAGAAGACATAATAATAAAAATATTAATATAAAGTATACGAAGTTGATTGCAACTTCCATCGAGTAAATAAAGACAATCGTTGAAACTTCCTATACAGACATGTAATTCTAACAGAGTTGAAGAGATAATTGTTGGAGATGATACATACCAAAGATAATCGTCGAAAAGAAACTGAAAATCAATCGAAACTTAAATATCGTAAATTTGTAAGGACATATTTCGTATTAGTTCGGCTGTCGTTTTTGACAATGAAGTCAATAACAAGTGATGAAAGTTGATTTTTGCAATATATAAACAAAAGGACTTTTGTCTAAATGAAAAGATTAAAAATTAATGAGAAAAAATATTTATTATATTTTATTTTATTTATTTAATTCAAATATCCAATTTTTCTTTTTTTTTTCGTGGACAATATTTCTAATGTACATGAACTTCATTTTAATTCTTTAATAATTGCTGATATTGTATCATCAATGTTATATTTTATCTCAATCATTTATTTTATTCTGCATTTTCTACATTGACCATCAATGTTTTAGAATCTTACTTGAGTACAATATAAGATATTCGTTTTCATTTAAATGAATAGTTCTAGTTTTTTTCTACAAACGAATTTTTTTGTAATGCATCATCATCGGTAAATACGGATGAAATATAAAATTATTATATAATAATAAATGATGTATAATCATCTAATTCTAACTGTACAAATTATATAGTTAAAATAAATCATTGATGTGTTAATAATTAATTATTGAAATAATCGAAAATATGTTACTAGTAAAGAGAGATATAGCTCTTTCTACGTCAAGATCGTATAAACCAAGTTTATATGTAAATTCGGAAATTTCGTAGCAAGAAGTATACGTTTCATAGAAATTGGTTCAAGATCAAGCCAATTGATTTTATGATGAATTTCAGGTAAAATTTGTGAACAAATCGGATCAGAGAAGGGATAATACATAGAATTATTTTGAAAACATCTCATCAATGATAAATGGTTTGTAAAAATTGGATCATATATATAATTGTATTAAATCGTTTATTAAAACCTATTAAAAAATTGAGTACTTCAAAATTGTGTATTTTTTTCAAAACAATCAGAACAATCTTATCAAGCAAATCATGGAATCCAACAAATAAATGTTCCATATTTATCATGATTTATCTACAATATAACCTTTCTAATGTGAGCACTATCGGGATCGGTCAAAAGTGCTCACTTTAAGGAGATGCTCATTATTTGGAAATTTTTAGGTTCTTCATGAAGAGTCTGAATATTGACCTGAAAACGCTTTTTGAGTGCGCAGTGATATATTGTACTTTTTTCAATAATTTATTCATTCAAATAATAATTTCTTTTCTAAGAAAACAACTTTTTACAACACAAAACTAAGTTTTTTTTCTGAATACAGGTAAATCGATACGTGGCGACATTATTTGATGTTAGCGGTATTATTACAAAAATGAAGAAATGTCACACTGAACAGCATTATCGACACTAAATAATTTTTTTCTTTTAATTACGTTCGATTAGTGTATGTCGGTCAAATATGTGTCCTTTGATTATTTTTAATAAAGCAGACGACATAAAATCATTCTTTTTCTCATTCTACGTGTCAGTTATAGAACACATTGCTCATATTATAAAGGTTGTTATTGCTCATAGGATCAATAAAATGCGCTCACTAGCAGAATGAGGAGGTACTCATAATCGAGAGACTAATTTTCAGCAAAATTCACTCGGATGACCCACAGGTGCTCAGTATAAGGAGTTGCTCATTATTGGGAGATGTTCACATATAGAGATTATACTCTATATTATTTTTATTCTTTTCTGTTACTATAGTGATTCATAGACATTTATGTTATGCAGTTATTGCACAAGAGTCAGAAATATAACATATGTTTTCTCTACCAATCCTCAATAGATTCATTTGACAAAAATGACAAATCGTGAAAAACAAGCTGACGAAATATTAGCATTACAATCAATTTTTGATCAAAAATTTCGTTTAATGAATAAAGATCAATATGAAATATTAATTGAATTTGATTTATCTACATCATTTACAATTCAATTAGACGATAAAATATCTAGTTTACAATATTTACCACCATTATCTCTTATAATTAATTATCATGATGAATATCCAAGTGATGAACCACCGTCATTCATTCTATCATGTTTATATTTTTCTAGAATTGATTTAGAAAAACTTTGTCAAAAAATTGATAATTTTTCATTTATTCCAGGTGAAGTTTGTGTTTATGATTGGATTGAATTAATAAAACAAGAAATAACAAATGAATTTATTATTCATACAAGTTTTGAAGAACAACAAAATGATCCACGAGCATTAAATGGTTATACAATTGAAAATGCTAAAAAAATTTTTCAATATCTAATTGATTATAATCAAAAGCGTCAAGAAGAAGTATTTCGAAATCGACTTCAATCATGTTCTATTTGTACAGATATTATTCCAGGTGTAGATTGTATTCGTCTTCATCGTTGTGGACATTTTTATTGTCGTACTTGTTTGAATCATTATATTCGAATGACACTTGAAAATGGAAAATTTGGAGAAAATCTTCTTTGTCCACAAGATCATTGTAAACAAGCTTTACTTCCAATAGAAATAAAACAAACTATTCAAAATGAAAAATTATATGAAAGATATGAACGATTAACATTGCAACATGGACTTGAATCAATGAAGGATATTGTTTGGTGTCCAAGGTGAGATAAACTAATGAGTTATTTTGATTTCTTTGGTAAAGACATGTATTATTTTCTTACAAAGATTTCTACAATATCTGTTCCATATTTTATAACCTATATAAAAATACGAGAGTTCACGTTTACAGTTAGTTTCTGAGTAGAGCCAACATTTGTAGTAAATTTTCGTTGTATTTAACAACCCATATTTGTAGCAAGATCATATTTTCAAATTCTGATCCAAAATCTTGATTACGTGAAGATATCATTTAAATTAGCGTGCATACAAAAAATTCAGAATTTTCTAATAATTGTTTTCAAGTAACCTTGCTGTGAATATGGACTTTCTCGAACAAAAAAATGACTAGAAATGTTCAATTTCATCAAAACAAGACCATAATAACAAACCTTTTTCCTTTTTGATGAAAATTTTTTATAAGGGATTATTAGTTAGACTAAATCTCACGTGAAGATCGAATACACACCTAGGAATATATCATCTTTTGTAAAAGTCATAGGAAGTATTCAATTATGAGAAAATTTGCAAAAAGGACAAAAAACGATGGATGAAGCATGATGAACTTCCTACACTCTTAGATAATAGACCATTTTTGCAGAAACTCCAAAGAAATTAATAAAAGACAAAGCGATTATGGTTTAGAATAATTACAGAAGAATAAAAGTTTTCCTTTTCAAGAGAGTCAACCTATGTATTTTATCTTTCGTAAGTTGATATAAAGTCGCACTCGTTCAAGAAAATAAGACTACTGTCTTAATTTGTTATTCTGCAAGTAAATTCAAGTCGAGATTGAAGTCTAAAAGATCATTTGTTAGGACTCCATGAAATACAAGTGGTAAACTAAGTTAGATGCTGGAAGAAAGCTTTCACATTTCCAAAGATTTGTCAAAAATCTAATTTGAATCCAATAGAATTTTGGGTGCATTTATCAAAATCAAAAGTTTTCAATTTCTAAGTTGATTCATTCACATCCCATTCTAATAATTCTAAATAAGAATGCATTAGTAGTGGACAAGATTAGACAAAAAAAAGAATATTAACACAGCTTGATAACAAGAAGAAAAGTTATATTAATATCAGTCGAAGGCAAAAATAAACTAGAGAGCTATGAACTCATGTCTTGTATCAGTGAACGACATAATGTAGGATATATACTCGAAGCGAAACTATAATTAAAATAAATTTAAAATGTCAAGAAAATGTGATAAGTAAAAAAAAAGCATACAAAGAAAATTTGATTTAGATGTCAATCACCTGTTATTAGTAGTCAAGAAGATGATAATCTAGCTGTATGTGATCAATGTCGTTATACATTTTGTAAAAAATGTTACGAAACATATCATTTTCAAAAAATATGTCCTAAAGATTATATAATTGAACAAATGAAATTACTAAAACAAAAAGAACTTCAACGACTACGAAAAGAAAAAGAAGCTGCATTAGCTCAATTAAATAAAAGAAAAGAACAGAAACAAAATTGGAACGAGCAAAGAATTAATACACAAAGATATCGTCATATTTTTATTAAACTATCTGAACAAAATACTCTATTACAAGAAATATTAACTGCTGAACGAATCAATACAGATGATATTCAATTTTGTCCTAAATGTCATATACCAATCGAAAAGAATGGTGGTTGTTCACATATGCATTGTTCACGATGTAATTTCGATTTTACATGGCAACCAATACAAGAACCAACACAAACAGTTATTACTCCATATTTGGAACGTAATGATTCCACAAAAATTGAATCTATAAAAGAAGAACTCAACAAAGTAGCATACTTAGGTTAGCAACAAAGAAAGCATTGCTGAATAAATAGTTTTGCATCACAATAAAATATCAAACATGATAATTTCTTTTTAGTAATTCTTACAAGGAAGAATATTTGAATAATAGCTGATCACAAACTGTAGAAAACATTTCGCTCGAAATAAACCCAGGGTAATAAATAAAATTCTGTTGCGTATCTAAGATAATATGGATTTAAGTGTTCCTACTAACAAGTCAGAAAGGAGTTTCTATAATACTCAAATTGTTAGTTTTGTAATAGTTTTACATCTATATTTCGACTCATATTTATATATATTGACGAGAATGACATTAGACTATGTTGTTTCTTCATTGGCGTAGCAAATTACACTCTACTATATATAGAAAGTGTTATATTTATGGGTAACAAAAAAAAAATATAATGATTTATATACATTATCTTTCTTTCAGTCGACACTCCTGTACAAGAAAAATTAATACAACATGAAGAAGTACCTTCTGATCAAGCACATGAACAAGAACAACAGGAAAATGACGATGACTTGAGCATTTTAATTGATGATGAATCAACTATTGGCTCAGTTATACTCAACCGAGTAACAACATGTCCTAATGAAGCATGCAGAAAAATTAATGTAAAAGTTACTCAAGATAATTGGATGATATGTAGTGCATGTATGAAACAATTTTGTTTTCTATGTGGATCTGGTGTAAAAGGAATAAAACATTTTGAGAAAAAATGTTTACGAAGTACCCCAGTTTAAATAAAATTTACGTACTTAAGCTAATATTAGAAGATAATATGGAAATACATACTATCGCGCTAGGTGAATTCACATTGAATAACCACAAGAAAATACTTTGTATAATTTTTAAATTTCAAATAATGAACATCTTCATATTTCTATAGAATACATCCATATTTTATGTTATATTGAATCGAATTATTTTTAATTTGAAAGACATCCAGAAACTGTTTACTTGGAATATTGCTCATTAGAAATTTTAATATAGACACTGGTGCTCTATATTTCTAGGTTGTGGATGTGGATTTGGGATGTGGGTGTGGGTGTTTAAAAAGAAGAATAGCACCCACACAGTCACACCCATCAGTAAAAAGTGGTTTCAAATCAATGACCATCATTGGAAACTTTTAGAAAATAATCATGCGTAACGTACCTCAAAATGAGTAAAAGCATTTCAGATCGAAAATGGCTCACAGCCTTGCTCACAGCCAATGCTATTGCTATCGCAAACTTCAGACTGCAACCCAACTAAAAGTATTCGAGCATGAATGAAGCTCAAAATAAATGAACAAACACCGGCATCAATCGATAATTTGGATAGAAGAATAAAACAACAATGGAAAGGTTTACATATTGCATTTGCTGAAAAATTAGTTGATTCTATAAAAAATAGAGTACAGTTGTTAAATGAGAGAACAGGCGATTATATTAATTACTCAGACGGTACACATATTATATAGATTTTATAGATAAAAAATAATAAAACTAATTCCTTTGTCTTCCTATTTTTATAATTCGCGCCCACTTATGATGACTAATGTATATATATTATAGATGAGTCTGGTAATAAATACTCTTCTCATTTGCATCTGTATGCACACACACACTGTTCGGCTTTTTACATTTTTTCTTATTCTCTTCCTACTTGGCTTTCTATTTTTCTTCGTTCGTACTTTGTCTTTCTGTGTTTTGTTCGTTATTTTTTCTTGTTTTACTTTAACGTCGCAAATTTCTGTAGTCGTCATTCTCCTTTTTTTTTTCTTATTTGTTTATTATTTATCGTTCTTCAGTTGTTTCGTCAGTGTTTCGTTTTGCTACTGGCTGCGACACATCTGTTCACAATTTGTGATGCTCACATGACACAGTTATCTTCAAATAAAACTGAAGTATAGTAGCATTTTTTCTAACTTCGCAACATCAAAAAGTATATTACATATCCAGCTACTACCACATAAAAGCGTCGTGTGTGACTATGGACAATCTACAAATGTGTTTTTCATAAATGATTACTCACCGGGCTTTGGTCGTCATGAGAAACAATAGAACGATAAGAGTGATTCATAGTAAATGTTCTACATTTGCTGTTCTTGGCAATATAAGTCATCAACTAATTGGACAGCTCACTCGATCGTCTTTAGTTCAGAGCTGCCAAGACGCCATATTTAAATGAACCAATCAAGAAATGATTTGTAAGACATGAAAAGGTAATAGCGCTCGTTTTTCATTTTCCACGTGTATTGTTTTCTCTTCTTCGGGACTCGTGAGCGCAAATAAAGAATCGGAGAAAAGTTGCATGTGTACTTGATTCTCGTAAGCATTTTTGTCTGTACCGTCTCTATTTGTAGTATGCGTTACATACCGTCCTTGCTGATTGACAATTGGCGTTTATCCCATTTATATTTCTATTCGGATGAGCGAATCTATGCTAGATCTATGTTCATGCTTTTAATCATTATGCAATTGGCTTCAGTCGGTTTGGGTGTTCTGTTCTCTTATTGGCACAATGCTCTTTTCAGTGCTCTTCAACAATTAGACCAATCTACATTTTTTCGGTTAATATTCTACTTTCCTTTTATTATTCTCATAGTAATCGCTGTGACCGTTTACAAAACTTATTTCGCACAATTATTTGAGCTTCATTGGAGACGTTGGTTAACAAATTACTTCATAACAAATTATCTAGCAGAGCATGCCTATTATGGAGCTTCTTTCAAGACAAATCGTGAGGATAATCCTGATCAGAGAATATCTGCTGATATTGCGTCGTATATTGCACATACTTGTGATTTGACCATTGGTGCAACACATGCAATAGCTTCATTTATTTCACATGTCTTTATTCTATGGTCTTTATCGGATGTGATCGAAATTCATGTAGTAGAGTATGTCTCGTATAAAATACCAGGAGGTTTGATGTGGATAGCTATTGTTTATGCCGTACTCGGTAAGAAAATATTTTACTCTACTTCAGTCTTCTGTAGAACAAAAGCAATTCGGAAGTCAATGTTTAACAGTCTATGAAGTTTTTGAGTGAGGAATGTGTTCTATTAACTTTGAATATTTATATAATTATTTCTGACACTTCTGGAATAACATAAATATCGATGTCAATTTAAGTCAATCAGAAAGCTAACATATTTGATAGCTGCAACTCATTTGAGTTTATTTGTCCTTCAAGTTTAAGATCCTAGTCATCGAGCAGAAGAACATCAATGGGTTTTTTCTCATTTTAACTACACCAAAAAAATAAATAAAATTGAAAGCAATGGAAGGAATAAAATGTAGAAAGGACTATTATGTTGAGTTTGACTTTACATGTTCACGTGTTTCAGAAAATTGTCGATAGATGACATCCTTCAATAGAGGCATAGTGTATCTCAATGCAATGAGTGTTCTGTACCATATCTCTGAATAGTCGTTGAGTATATATATAGGTTGATACTCATATTTGCATTGAAATGCATATCAGAACTTGATCAATTTAGAAGTTCATGCGACTATTTCAGGTACGCTAATAACGGATCGTATCGGTCGCAATCTGATGAATTTAAAATATGAACAAGAACATCACGAAGCTAATTTCCGCTATGAACTAGCTCGACTTCGCGATCATGTCGAATCGGTGGCGTTGTATCATGGTGAACTACATGAACATGCATCTTTAACTGCATTGTTCTCTGCGGTAATGTCAAACTTTCGCGAGATCATGCGTTGTTCACTGAACCTCGATTGGTTCTCGCATTCGTTTAGTCACATATCAGATATTTTTCCGTACTTGATTGCTTCGACTCGCTACTTCTCAAAAGAGATTACTCTTGGTGATCTAACACAAATCGGATCTTCTTTTACACGTGTACAAACATCGCTTTCGTTTGTGGCCAAATCTTATGCTATAATTGCACAGTGGAGAGCAGAGACAAAACGACTCATAGATTTAGCGAATATTTTACAAGACTTACATGAAGCAAAGCGAAATTCTAAAATCAAAATTGTCCATAAATTGAAAGAGCAGAATATTCGAATAGAAGGATTGACCGCAAAATTACCGTTGAGCATCAATGCTAACTCTCCACAAATACTCATTGCAAATTTCAGCTGGATATTCGAACCATTTCAAACTGTACTTATTACAGGTAAAACAATAGCCATCATCCCGACTAATCTGATTGAATCTTTCTTTTGAAATTCTTCTATGTCTTAGGTCCATCCGGTTGTGGAAAATCGACTCTACTTCGAATAATTGCTGGGATTTGGCCGTACGGTCATGGAACAATCACTAAGCCCCTGAGCGACACAATCGAATTTATTCCTCAGAAGCCTTATTGTCCACTTGGAACTCTTCGTCATTGTTTTACTTATCCATCGACGACGCTGCGGACATCAAAAGACGATGCAAATATCAAGCGCATATTGCGTCTTTGTCAACTCGAATCTCTATCAAACCGCCTAGGTGATATTGAAGATTGGTCTCTCATATTGTCATCGGGCGAACAGCAGAAAATGATTTTCGTTCGAATTCTTCTTCATCAACCGAAATGGATCTTTTTAGATGAAGTAACATCATCGTTAGATGAACGATCTGAAACACATCTATATTCGACTTTACTTCAAGAACTCGGTTCGCATTCAACCATCATCAGTGTTGGACATCGAAAAAATCTGCAACAATTTCATCGAATTCAATTGGAATATACTGACGGACAATTCACACGTGTTAATTCGCTCATTGAAACTCATTAGGATACTATTGTATTTTGGTAGAAATGATTTTTTGCTCTTTCTACAAATAAATTCCTCAAGAATTGACTACATTACATTTTAAGAGCATCAACTTGGTGCTTCCTAACGACAAAATATCATACAAAGGAAAACTGTAGAATAGTGGAAAACAAGACGGATATTAGTTGTATGTATCTAAAATACGAAGTTTGAACTAAGTCGAATTCGCCAGTTTTATTTCACAGTATTGTATTTAAAAAAGATATTGCAATTACGTAAATAGAAGATTTGTGTCGTCATTGTCTTTGTAACCATTCTACTTTTAAAAAAGCATTGCAATCATAAATCGCAACAATCGAGGATGCTACAGTGTCTTAATTACTTTCTGATATATTCCCCAAACCTCTCTCCACTAACGTTCATATTCTCACAACTGGTTCGTTCCGTGGGTGTTGGTGTGCGTGTGGATTTGAGCTTTTGGGCGTTCTGAATGTGAGAGTAGGCATTAGTCTTCTCTTCAGACACACCCACCTACCCCAAGATGTGACACGAAATAGAAAACATATTCTTTCAGCAATAGACAGAACAACGAATTTTTTATTGCAATACAAAATGATCCAGTCGTATTCATGAACAAGAAGACATATGAACATGTATACTTTTTAGCTCTGAACCAAATAGTTTTCTCTGTAAAGACAATCAAGATAATTTGCACTGTATCCCAATATAGTATTTTTGTTTGCTTAGTTTCAAAATACCTGATTCTGATTTGATGCATTCGTAGGTATTTCCCTGAGAAAAGAATGCCTGTTCAATCTCATCTCGTTGAAGAATTGATCAATAGTGACAAGTTAACAATCCATAAGTAAATGACGAGAGTACCTGATAAAAGAAATCCAAGTTAAAAATTTATATGCTCAGTAATCGTTAGTCAAGATTTTCTGTTGCCATTAGGGATTTAATACGACTCATAATGAATTAATGACGCCAATTTATTCTAGTTTTCTTTTTTTTCGAAGTATGTTGAAGAACTAAGATGCCATAATGACAATACCAGTTTTGATATGAATCCTGTTTTTCAAATTCTTGTAGCAGGATCGACCATTTTCTGATTTTTTTTTCTTTCATACGCAAGTTTTGTTGAGGTCAACATATTTTTCATTGTTGGTTCGACTCAGTCAGCATAACTAGAATAGAAGGAGCACAAAATCGACGTCAGTGCATTGCATGCCACTATGGACAATCAGAGATGGGTAAATATCGTCACCTTGTTGGTAAATGTTCTACGATTGATCAAACTCCGGCTCTTCTCTCAACCGTTACTTTCTTTTCTTTCAGCATTGTCAAATGAAGGTGCAGCAGATCGTAAAAAAATTATTTACGATGTGGACTAATTACTATGCAATTTTCTCCTTTGCACATCAAATGAATGTATGACTGTCGAATGGTTTTGTGTCTTCCTCATTTTTGAAGCTGCGATAAGACCTCTCTGTCGTTTTGTTTTTGCGTAATTTAGTATATACAATCTAAAGCAAGGAACATTGAAAAATGGCATGTTAGGTTACTTCTTTTAGCAGCTCGTAGCAGTAGACGTCTTTTCCTAATGTAGATTTAAACGTTGATTGAAAAAGAAGTTTTTTCTTTGTATTGTAACTGGTTGCTTTAAAGCCGTAACTGAAACATCTAACAATGATAACGATGAATAATAGAAATTTTCAGTGGTTCTTTCTTGCAACATAATCTGAATAACATATATTAAGTAAAATTTTTTACAATAGGTTATCAAAGAGAAATATTGAATTTCGAAAATGATGAAGAAAGCTTGAGCAAGTCAATTTATGTAGATTGTTTGCTGCGATTGACAGAGGAAAACTTATAACTATGTCAGAAATGTGATGATGTTTATTGCGTTTTTTCGAAAAAAAATTCTTACAGTAGACTTTGTGGATTTCACACACATCCGTTGATAACAAATACGAAAGACTCAAAAGATTTCTCACTCTACTTTTGTTTTTCAGTTATAAAAAAGAAACGAATGTCCAAATTAGTGTAACATCTTGATATCAATATGTGTTGAGAATAAGACGTATTATGGAGCTACAGGTATAGATGCAATCGCACGTTGATCTTGCAATTCCTTAGCGTGAGGCAATATTTTGTATTGCGATCTTTTGCAGCAAATGTTCTCATTAGACAGTGACATAAGACATCCAAACGGTATCGCAAGTGTCACGAAATAGGATAAAAAACCCAAATAAGGTGACATTATCAGCATGTTATGGTTGTTTTTTCCACTCAAAAAGAAGCAGACGGCGACCATCAATGGAAAATGAATCGTTAAGTAGGGTATAGATATAATTAACAATTGAATAATCATCTTTTGATGCCTTCGCCAATGAACTGTTCGATGTAGAAGATATTTTTGTCGGATAATGCGTACTAATAGAGTGATATTGAAGAAAGCAATAAAAATTATGGGCAAAGTATTGTGAAAAACAGCATCCCATTTACTTAACCATGGAAATGTAAACATGAAACATGGTGAAAAACCACAAAAAAGTGATGTGTAATCAAATATAGTCGAACAAGCTGCAAAGAAAATGGCCAAAAGATAGTAGATGAAGAGATAGATAAAAAGTGTCATTAAAGGTATATAATGAAACAATATAATGTCAAGTTTAGATTTACATATCCATTGCCTATGAAAGATGAGAATATATCGTTCAAAAGAAGCCCATGCAAGAAAGAGAGAATACGTCGAATGAGACCAAAATTCAATAAAGATCCAAATAAGACAAACTGTCGGTGATTGGTAGCGGACATTTCCGATATTGAGGTAATCTATTTGAAGTGGCATATCAGTAAGTTCAAATAGGAGACCAACAAAAAGTAGAAGAACAATGGCATGATTCTGTAAAGTTCGGCGAAGTCTGTTTTTGAATAGTAAATGACTGAGTACAAAGATTGTACAAACTAGAGAACATGATAACGCAAATATATAAAGACCACAACGAATCGAACGCGCTATAGCAATATCGGGTGGCGGTGGCAGTGATGGTGGTGTTAGCAGTGAAATGCTGCTGTTCAATAATGTTATTTCCATGTTTCTCGTTGATGTTACTCACAGTACTCACTCTGCTGAATACCTTCACAAATTTTTTTTTCTTATTTTTGGAATGCATTTTCTCCACCACCGTATTAATACGTGAGATGCTATTAATGTGATGTAGGAAACTACAGCTCATGCATATCTTTCAGCAAATGCCAAGTATAATTATGTACATTGTCATATGAAAAGAAAAAAATATCTCGCATTATGTCATTTACATTTCATCTTTTGTATGTGTAAATGGTTACAAGACAGTATATGAAGATGACAGATTTCTTTCGTGCTATCAATTTATTGCTAACGGCGGAAATGAGTGAATTCTTATGAGCAGGATGCTGTGCATTAGATAATGAAGAAAATCAACAATGACAACTTCTCTTTCCATCTTTGATCAAAGACCTGCTAGTCCATAGATGCTCAATTTTTGAAAAAAACTCTTTCTCTTTAATACCAACATCATTGATATGACAACACTCAAGAATTTAGGGTGCAAACAAATAATCAGATTTATCCAAGTAGATTTTCCTAAGCTTAGCTTATACACGTGATCGATCATATTTCCACCATTAGAGAAGTAATTATTTGATTGTGTTCATATATTAAGAGAAAAAATGGTGAAATATCATATATTTAGTCTTTTGCTAAATTTTCTACATATATATATATATAGAATTCCAAGACTTGGTCCAAATGAACAAGGACACTGTTTGAATTTTCACTCTCAAAGTTCGAGTTTCATATTTCAAATTAAGCGTTGAAGTGATGTATTCTTGCAATCTAGCAAATACAAAAAAAAAATGAAAGACAAATTAGATAGGAATTAACAATGGATCGACAGATAGGAACATTGAAGTAAAGATCTCGAACCTGATATGAGATTTATTCTTCTCAAGCACCATCTTCTAACAGCACAAGAAAAGACCACTTCAATATTTCATTTGAAATTTGAACTTGGTATATTCAAAAGAGTTAATGCCAATTTGAAAAGTCAGTATTTAGTCTTGCTATCTTTTCTTGATCAAAATGATTTTATCTATCGAGAGAATAGGTTTTTATAACAGAACTGTTTAAACAGATCAGTTCCTTTCAAAACAATGTTTCAAGAGTTCATTTGATGTGAACTTCTAACTTGGAGTTGATCTACATTTACTTATTTTCTCTATAGCAAAAGAAATATGCAAAACTATATAGGAACGGGTACGCATACGAAGAAGTATATAAATATGCATTTACCCTCTTGCTCTTGAGTCGGATCACTAGGAAATCGTTGAACTTTAGAACGAGTTTGATTAGGAAATAGTGTCTATTCAATTTTTGATTTGATCAAATTCTCTCAAAAATGTGTATAGAAAATATCGATTATCCTTGTCTTTTCAACGCATAGAGATTAAATTATCCAGGCATCTGCAGATTTTTTGTTTCAGATCATCATATGTTAAATGTTAGTCTTAGAGTACTCAAAAAGATGTATCAATTTGTTGAGTCGATTCAGATGAGATGACAGATAATTCGGATAAAACTATGTAAAAAAAATGGCACATGACGATCTCTAAAAGAAGATCATTTCGTGAAGTCCTAGCATTTTGAAGTTGATCATTATTTATCTCGAGCAAAAGTTCTTGTAAAGAATATTATATAATGGAATCTTTTGTAAGATTCATTAGAAAGGCTTTTTTTAAAAGAATTACTTGACAACTAATTGAACATACTTATTTCATAATTATCGAAATATCGAAAGAACTATGAAAAATATTAGAATGCCGTATGAAGTCATCCATATGTATTTCGACATTTATAATCAACTTCCAGCAAATAAAAATTGTATTGTTCATAATATCGAATTATAAAAGAAAAAGCACTATTCAATTGATAAATATTACTGAGACAGCGAAATTGAGTAATAAAAATTTCA